GGACCCTAAGTCCCAGCTCCTCTCCCCGCCACACTGCAGCCTGGCCCCAGAGCTACCACAGCACTGCACCAGCTCAGAACCACCCCCCCCAAAAAAAACCCCCTGTTCCCTCTCCTCCACACACTCCATAAAAGGCCGTCAAACAAACATCAGTCTACTCACACCGCTACTGCTGACATGCAACAAGCCCCAAACGCTGCCACTTTATTGCCCTGCCTCACAAACAACAACAGCCGCTTCACCGACGCCGGCTGGAAGCTCGGCTCGCCTGTGACACTGTGCTGCCCACTCGAGACGGCCTGCTCCTCTGCTGCTTGGCCTGCAGACAAGGGGCCTACCTGCATCTCCACTCACCCCAACACCAGCAACAACCACACAGCAAGTACCCCTACCTTTGCCACTCGCTGCTGGCCTGAACGTTGCGCAGATGGTGCTGGCGGTCTTCGGCCAGCCGCTTGCCCCCGTTTCTGGCCCCGGCGCCAGCCACCTTTCCCGCGGTACGCCTGCCAGGCCAGCACGCCCACAGCTCCGACAGCCAACACGCCAACACAAGCAATGAGCGCCACCAGGCCCCTGCTCAGCCCAGGACCTGCAGAGAAAGAGGGGAGAAAACACACTTTGCTTTTTTCTTTTGAAAGATAGTCAATAAAGCCCTACCTTTCCCTCTCCTCTCAAAGATGGCCAGAACCACACACAAAGCATCCACTGACTCTCGTCCCTGTCCAGCCCGACAGCCAGCTTCCGCCTTCCAAGAGTCCAGGCCTTTTGGCCTGCATGAGCAGAGCCCGCTAAGATCCAAAGGTACTGTCCACCAGCCACAGAGCACATGCCACTTCCTAGGGTCCCCTACACTTTTGCCACATCAGAACCAGCTCAGCCACCTCACCCCAAGGCACCCTCTCTGGGAAGGTTCAGCACGTGGGGCCCGGTGCCCAAAACAAAAAAGAGGCCCCCATGAAAACCACACGTCAGGAGGCAGTGACTCAAACAGACCGCTCCATCCGCTAAGGCATTTCCTCTCCAACACCTTCTCGTGGCCTTGCGCCCCAAGGACAGTTGTGCCACGCTGAGGGTTGTAGAGATAGAGACAGAGAGCGAAAAGAAGGAAAAAAAAAAAAAAAAA